ATCCGATAGCTATGGTTTCCCCGGAAGTTAGATAAATCTTACACCAAACCGATTCACACGATGAACAAGGAACATTTATTTGCGAACTCTGAAGGTTGTTTGCGATTAGTAAAAAAACGCCACCACCATGCGTAGTTCTATCCTTTCGATAGGCAGAATAATTGGGAAGCGAAAATTTCTTCGTCAGCTGTCTCTTCGGTTAGCTAGGATTCTGTATCAATTACAATTCTAGGTTGCGTCGTAGCGACAAGTTCAGCAAAGCCATCAATTTTATTTTTTATGCTGCGACAGTTAATAAGTAGTGTCTAGATTTCGACACAGATGCTGGTGACATAACATGCTTCCGTGGTAGTAGCTATGATTCACTCTGTTGGGTGGGAACTGAGCTTGATAATTTCATTCGTTGGTGCGTTGACTCGTCCCAGGTATATACCTCGCTGTTGACAATTAATTTATCGTAACGTAAAGATACTTTGTCATCTGGCTTTCGAGCATGTTTTATGCTGTTCCGGAGTTCTTTCCGTACTAGCTGGACCCTACGTGAGAAGTCTTCAGATATAAACACTTGCGACCCCTTCAGTTTACGAGCGTTACGGGGGATATCCAGCTTTTCATTGAAATCGTACAGACGCAGAATTACGGGCCTCGGTTTACCTTCCATCAAACGCCCCAGTCTATGTATCCTCTCAACACTGGCAACGGTAACACCTAGCTTCTAACCGAAAATACTTTAAAGCACCAGTTATTTTAACTCCGTTGTACTTTCTTCTTTTACCTCTTTTATTCCGTGAATGATTAAATGATTACGCCTTCCTCTGTTTTCTAGGTCGTCTACTTTCTCGGTTAAACATGTTACTTTGTCGATTAGGCGCTTTAGGTTTTGCTCACACCGCTCTACCTTTGGGGGAGCCTTTGATAATTCTTTAATTGTTGACTTTATTGCTGTTAGGCGTTCGTTAGTGCCAGACATGTGTAGCTCTAGTTTTGTTTGCATTGACGTTAAGCCAGCCGATAAACTTTGCTGGTTGGCTAAAATTGCCGCAAGTTGTTCCTCCACAGTAGGCTTAGGGTTGAGTTCTACATCGCCGCTTACGATCAGTATCAGCATAGACAGAGAATCAAAGGAAGCAGTAAGACTCTCGCACAATATTTTTGGGCAGGGCAGCACAGCAAGACACAGGTAATTGCTCTGGAGCGTGGACACCAGAATAGGTTTACCAACCTGTATTAAAAATAGGAACGGGTTCATGGACGTCCGCATCGTCGCTGCGCTACTCTGCCCACTGAGGATACCAGGCCTTGGGGGGCGGATCCAAGATGTAGCTGATGACGGTAATGCTGGAGCATCCCGTTCCGCTCGAGGAACAAAGTCTGCCGTTGTAGACCAGGAATCGGAGACGGGCTCGAAGTGGTTGAAGCTTGAGTTGGTGACCAAAGTTGTTCGCGCTGAACAGGTACTGCTGGTAGGCGCTCGCTCAGGCCGAGGGCAGCGTTGCGACACCGGGTCGACGCTCCAGGCAAGCACCTGTATTAAGAATAGGAACGGGTTCATGGACGTCCGCATCGTTGCTGCGCTGCACTGCCCACTCACTGTATATTTGGCATATTAAAATCGCCACCACTAGGTGGCGATTTTAATATGCCAAATATACAGTGGGCTGACTATACTGTTGTACTGACTTGCCATTCTGCCCTTTCACGCTTGAATTTAGTAGTATGATCGCCACAAATTCTCTCTGTCCGCTTGTTGATTTCAGGACAAGACGTCACGGCGGTTTTGTTTCAACGCTTGACTTACTTTTCTAGAACTCTTCTAACTTAGTACGGTCAGCCTTACCAGTACCTGGTATAATGGAAACAACCATGAAGAAGTTCTGGCTAAGGTCTCTTTTGGCCGGCCCCTGATTGTTGTAGCTCCCCCACAAATGGTGTACTCTTTTGAGAGAGGTAATTACGGCTTGATTATACAAAGCCTTGGGGACTACTCTGAAGAATTTGCAGTCATGTGTACCTCATCTAGTGTCGACGACCTTTGGCAAATACCTAAAAGCAAGCGGCTAATACTCTTTGATCGCCATATACTATCTAAGACTGTGTCCGGCAGAAGGAGACGCAGCAAACCATGGTTTACTAACGAGATTAAGCGATAGCTGAATCAGAGATGTCGCTTCTTTCGCCGGTACTTGAATCAGGGTAGAGATGAACTTCTGACAAACTTAAAAACAATAAGGGACTAGATTGAGTAAAAAATAAAATGTGCCACGGCTGACTTTTACTATTCTAGGTGGAACGATGAAAATGACCACGAAGGAAATTTCTGGAGGTTCGTTAAATCCAACGGCAAAGAAGTTAGCACTATCCTGCCTATTTCAACCGAACAAGGTTATGTCGCTAACGACAATGAAAAAGATGTATCTTTCAATAATTACTTTCAGTTCGTTTTCTTTGCACACGCAGAAACCACACTTCCTGAAACAAATTCCTGTATTCTTGCAGCAATGCCAGACGTTGTGGTAGCATATGAGGGCGTCCTGTAACTTCTCCGAAAGCTGAGAGAAAACTCTGCCACCGGTCCAGACTGCTTCCATTTTTATATCTTAAAAGCTTGTGCACCCATTATCGCTAAATATCTCGTTATCTTGTTGAATAGGTCTTTATTATTCCGGAAACTGCCTTTTGAATGGAGAACGGCGAATGTTATCCCAGTTCATAAAAGTGGTCCACTTTCACAGGTTTCAAACTAGACCCATTTCTCTTACTAGTGTGTGTTGTAAAACACTTGAGCATATAGTATATTCTAACATATATTGCCACTTGCAAGCGAACAATTTCTACGTAAGGTATCAACATAGATTTAGAGCATGCGTTTCTTGTATCACTCTGTTGGTCGAGTTCTATGATATTTTTTCTTTATTTGATTCTGGAAATCAGGTTGACTGCATTGTGTGAGACTTTTGAAAGGCTTTTGATAGTGTCCCGCTGTGTTGTGTTCATCCCCTTATGTGTTCCTGAGTGTCAGGTTTTTATTACCATGAATCATCGCCAGCTCACTTGTTTTTTTTTAGTATTATTGCAATTTTGATAGTGTGTCACATTTTTTATTGTAGAAGAATGAATAGTTAGGCGAGTTGGTGGGAATTCATCTTGGGGACACAGCGCGAACAACAGACGTGGACGAAGAAGAAACACACGGGACAAGCGCTGACTATCAACTGAAATATTTTAATAGGAAAACACATAAAAACGACCATTCATCTTTTTATTGCTCCTGAATCTTCCATCGTTAGGATTACCCGACAGCATTTTTGGGTGGGTGCGGGATAGTTTGACATGTCGCTCAAAATAGGTTGTAATTAATTGGTGTAAATCTCATTTTACTTCGTTAACTTCCGGAGTTCCGCAGGGATCGGTTTTAGGTTCACTTTTGTTTAATCTACATAAATGATACAGGCTCTGACATCGGTTTTAATCTTGGGCCATGCGCAGACGATTGTGTTCTATATACTACTGTAAATACTGAGGAAGACGCCAATGCTCTACATATCGATCCTAATAAGAGGATCTTTTGGTGCCACAAATGGAGAATGACAGTTAATATTGCTAAGTGCAGCTGTATCCGCTTTAGTGTGAAACGGCTTAACATACATGCGGACTTTTAATTAAATACTGAACAGATTGTTCTGGTCACGGATGTGAAATATTTAGGTGTTATCATTTCATCTAACATGACGTGAAGATGTCATGTCGAAATGGTAACTATGAAAGCCGGTCGTGTCCTTAATTTTACAAGTGGAAAATTCAGAGACGCTCCTGGGGACGTTACAGAACTTATATACGTGTCTAAAGTGCGTTCTATTTCAGAGTATACTTCATTCGTATGGGATCCTGACACTAAAACACTAATTATTAAACTACATGCGATTCAGAATCGAGCTGCTCGCTTTGTCACACTCTTATCATTTTAGTGCCAGCGTTACTGCATCAAAAAGGAATTAACCTCTCAAGGGACTCTCTTGAATTACGCCGAGGGTTATCGAGCTGTTCGTTTCTAGATCAAATATCCCACCCACAGGTGGGTATTAATAAAACTAAATATGCATTTATTCAGAAAGATACCCGAAATAACATGCCGTACATATATTTTTAAATAATTCTTCTTCCCTCATACAAGTAATCAATGGAATAGACTTCCTGGCACTGTGGTTACCACTCCCGTTGAAAACATTGAAGGTGCTCTGAAGCAGGATTTTCATAAAAACTTACAATGATGTTTTTTTTTTTAAGTAGGTTATGTGTTTATTTTTTATGTGTTTGTATACAAAAACGTTGAATGATAATTTGTGACTTTTTGTGCGTACCGTATTTCGATGATGCAATGTCAATGAATGTCTTTGTATTTTATTTTGTGTACTTTGCTAGACCAGTGTGTCATGCTGCTGTAACAGATCACTGATCAGTATTCCCTATTTGTGTATATTAATGAGTAAGTCACCTCCTACGCCAATGCCCTATGGTGTACTGTGGGTAATTAATAAATAAAATTAACGAATTGGTATACTAACGTTACTATCATTAAAAGCATGTCAAAATTTTATCGCGAGAAGTCATTTAAGGCGTCAAGTGATTTCTGTATGAAGCTACTATTCTAACCTCTGGAATACAAAACATATTTTTGTATCTACACTACTCCTTGTGTTGAATCGTTACATAAATAACGACAAATATAACTCAGCACCCACAAGTGTCCTTAAGATATTGCCCAACAAATTCTTACGCAATTAAAGATTAGTGAACAATAAAGCACCTTCGTTTTGAACTTCATATTTATAGTAATTAAGGCATCCCCTTGTATTTCTGCATTAAAATCTTCATCCCCGAATGAGGTACGATGGGCAGCTCTACAGTTACCTAGTAAGTATATTTACCGAAAAAGGCATTACCTGGACTTAATTTAAAAACAAATGAATAGCGGTTCAAGTCATGTTACTTTTCCTCGACAGGAGCCTTTGGATGGTATACGTCTCGCTAGTCCTTATGGGAAACGGTCAGGCGGCACTTTTTGTTTGCTCTTATTGCCAAGCCCTAAAGCGTGCCACGTAAGTAAACGGGACTACATTTAAATAGGTTTTTAGGCATAATGAGGAAAATTTAGTCACGGAAACTTTTAGTTTCTTTCCGGCTAAACTCATATTAAAGTGAAACGTTATTTTGCTAGGTGCTCACCACTTTGTGAAGCCTGATAAGTGAAGCTTGATAAGCGTGGCCGCGAAGCTCGGTGCAGACTGGTTAACGGGGGAGGTCACGTGACTAGAGGTGTTCGCGAGGAGGAGCTCTATTTTGTGAGAACACTGAGTCAGAGGAGCTCGGGATTATGGAAGGCTCTGGAAGATCGCAAGGTTCATCGGCCTCCCATAGGTGAAACTGAGGGTATAATTAAACGTTTGTGATGCTATAACCGTTTTTACGTACGCAACAGATATTACAGCAATTTGCCGTAAATATTTCATGCCCCGTAAAAATGTCCATTAGTACACATTGTATCCTGAATATGCCCGGTAAAAAAATTATATGACCGTTTTTAATAAACCCGTGGGAACATATAAAGAAATATAAATACTCAGGAACTCATTCTAAAATATATAATATAAATTCTGATATGTTTATCGGGCAAATCAAGTATGAAATGTTTCTCGCTTCGAAAGGGTAGAACCTAAATTATGCATACTAAAATCACTTTGCCCTTAAAGAGACAATAAGTACAGAAAAGAGAATGAGAAACACGCATGACTCTTTCAAGTAGCAACGAACTATCTGGACTATCGTTGCTACCGGAAAGGGAGATGGGTGTTTCTCTTCTTTGTTGCTGGGTGCTTACTTTTTTCTTTTTACGCTGTAATTACGAACAGGTTGAAGCTCTCATACTTTATGGATCGCCTAGTCATCGCGTACTCCGTTAGACTTTATTGATATATGCATAAGGGCAAGAAAACTTTGAAGTCTTAAACTATGAGGAATAAATTAGTTTCTCTCGCGTAGCCACTTACACTAGAGCTCTTAACTGTCATTAAGCCTTAACTCAATCGCGATCAGCTGGAGTTACACGGCGGCGCTAATCATCGTTGAGCCACTAACGATCATTGAGTTTAACTGAGCTGGAATACCTCATCGCCCCAATAGAGCTAAAGATGACGGCGTCGGCCGCATCGCCGCCCACGGCCGGCGCCGGCGAAGCACTTACTATCGCGGAAAATTGTGGGAGGTATCCAGAAATTGTCGTAGCAGCAAAAATGGTCCGAATATGTATGATTCGGGGCTGCCGCTAGAACGATTACGGCAAGTCGCACAAGCCAATGCTCGTCGAGGGCGGCATTTGTGATGTTGGAGCCGTTAGGACTTTCCTTATGGCTGTATCTCTTGAATTCGCGTGAAACATTCTGGTTATGGGGATTTGAGATCGAGTGGGGCTAGCGCACACCAGCTCGGAGCACTTCGAGCGAGAGCTCGCGCTGCAGAATCCAAGGATGCTGTGTTCAATTTCTTTCCCTGTTCGTTTTGATCTGTATGATCGTTGTACCGGCATGCGGTCGTGTATCACTACTGCGCGGTGCACGTTAGAGACCCCTGGCTGGCAGTCGTATTGCAATGGATAAATTGCTCCCCTACAGTGGGTAACAATGTCACCCTCTCCTGGCATGCTAAACTCCTGCTGTATAAACAACTAATGACTAATTTGTTTTGTTTTTTCGTTGGGATTATCATTTCCTTACTCTAAAACAAAATGAAAGAAGTTCATTTTAGTATGTTTTAAATGTTTATATTGAAGAAAAATGTGCATGCAACTCATTTGTATCACTTTAACAGAAAGGTAACGTGACATCAGCTTTGGTTTCGTTTCGGTTTTAACTGTGTCCCGTGCATGCATCTCAACTGGGTTTGTTAGGCCTGTTTACCGTGTAACTTAGGTGAGCTCCGTGATAGTTGGGAGACCTCAACCATCGTTGGCTTAATGACAGCTGAAAGCGCTAGTGTAAGCAGAGTATAAGTCACATTAAAATAGTTCTAACTAGGTGACGAATAAATACGAGCCTGAGCAAAATTGCCACGAAAAAGTTATAATTAGAAAGTAATCGCTTTCCGCGTTTTAGGCATTCCCCACCAATGGAGCGATGTCAGCATTCACGGAGCGGCATGTTTCTAGATTCTCATTCAAGGTTGACCGTAGGGTATATGCATAGGTCTTTCGGTTTCGGGTTTTTGTATTCTTTTCAAAATTGGGTGCTTCGAGGTAATGGGGAAAAAATCGAGTTTTTCATTTAATTGTTATAAAATTCGGCTTTTCCATGTTATATTGTCACAAATGAGAATTGATGAGGCCATGGTAACTGAAGGAACTAAACGTTTAATGGGGGAACTTGTGCCCAAAAATTAAAAAAAGGAGCAGAAGAAAGCAGAGCGTCGCGGGCGTCGAAGTCGGTGTGACAGCAGTGTCGAACGCTGGGTAGAAACTGCGCCTGGCTCGCCACGCGGAGCGCCTTTTATACCGGCGTGTGTTTCTGAAACATTCGGCCCAGAACGTTCGGGGCGTAGAATAATCTAGTGCCACTAAATAAGCTACGCTTCAGAGTAACGACACTTGGCCATATTGTGTCTTAGAATCATGGTTGCCAGTTATCTGAAGCATTATCTGAAATCACAGGAAAATCTTTTCTGCCCCCAACCAGTGATTTAACAGTTCGCTACAGAGAAAATCAACATTACATGAGCGCCCTAGCACTGAATATAATCCTGAGGAAGTCTCACTTTTGAATCATGACGATCGGCAGTTGCGTCTACTCTACACAAGCCCCAAAATGGCGGCGCTCACAACAACGTAGGGGAATGGAGTGCCGATACTCTTAGCGCACTCATTTAGTGGCTCTAGAATATTCGTAACTCGGTGAAACGAGAAAGTTCTTGAACTTGCGAGAATGACAAGTAGAAAAAATAAATAAGAAACAAGTAAGTCCCAGAAATCGAACCTTGGCTCTTCGCGTGGGAGGCAAGCACGATAACCTTTAGGCCACGACCGCGCTCCGCGCGCGGCAATATTTAGAAATATAGAAATATAATTAAGCGTTGGCCTGTTTGAATATATATATATATATATTATTTTTAATAAAGTACTGTACACAAGATAGCATTGAAACGAGAAAGAGGCTCGCATAGGCTTTTAAATTTTTGCATAAATAATTGTGGCTTACATAATATTCTGCGTGCGCAGCATCTGTCTCCATCCCAGACCTATCCGCTTTTCGAGAGAACGTTCTTTTAGCATTAGAGCTTACGTATATTTAAAATGAGTGTTTCCACTTTTTTTTTCGCAAGCTGAAAAAAAAAAAAAGGAAAAGGGGAAGGGCGAATGATACTTCACAATGAACAGGAAGGTTACATTTGAGGGCTCGAATTATGTTACGGCAGTTCATTGAATTCAAAAGAATCTAGGAGTGTTCCTGAAGTCTGGAGACGGCGCATGTGTGTCCCTACCAATTCGTTATTCCCTGCAAAATATTTTCGGGCCAAAGTAATTGGGAAAATGTTGGAATTCAATTTCCGAATTTGGGGGAAATTCGGGTTTAACCCGATTTTCAAGAAGAGTGTCCGAGCGGTATATATAAGAAAATATCGGGGAATAAAAAAAAAGGAAATTGACAGACTTTAGAGATATGTGCAAGTCTTGATTTTCTAAGCGTCTCCTTGGACTTTTCAATGCAAGGTACCTGGGACGTGAAAGTCTTAAACCAGAGGCACAAACAATAAGAAAAAAAGAAGAAGTTGTGCATAAATTGAATGCATATACAATGATTAAGCTCTGAAAAATATATATAATCAACTCTTTGAGCGTCGTTTTTTATTTTTATTTTAAGAGAGCTCGGTTACCCCGACAACATTCGAACCTCGGGATTTGTATCATCTCTGGTTTTTCCTTCTCTCTTTATTGGGTAAGTAGTCCTTTCTTAAGCAGTTCCTTTCAAGTGTAGCCTTATGTTCTGGAAGAAAGACAAAAGTCAATTCTATATATTTGTTTCTAATTCACGTTGTCATTTCTTTATTGAAACCGTCAGATCATTAATTGTGCCCTGTAACATGGTCACTCGGAGCATAAGGAGCGCGAAGCGTGCAGTGTTTCGAGCATATCATTTTGATTCCGCAGCCAATGAGATCGAAGGATTAGCCAGTCGGATCGCCGAAAATAAAAGCACAAAGTGAGGAGTGTGTAGAATATAAACCATGCCTCGCGTTCGTAGGGCATGGTTTCCCGATACCTGTTGGTATATTTGGATTAACGTTATCATCGCCTCGATTTATTATACCTTAAGGGCTCTTGTGGGCATTCCACGGAAAAAAGGTTGGGTATAAAGGGATTACGTGAAGGCAACGAATGTACTAAATGAATATTTTAACATCGTTATAAAAGTGTTTAAGAACGCCATAAACAACTATGTACTAAGTCGTCGAAAAAGTGAGAAAGTCGGGGTGTGTCTTTCGAACGTCGGACCTTTAGCTCGCACTCGATGCCTTCTAGTGTGCTTTGGCTGCTCATGCACGCACGAAGCCCACGAGACGCTGAACATTTATCGAAATTGAGAAGCTCGCGTTTGAGGCGTGGTAACTTAAGCTCCTTCCCGCCGTTCACACTCTGTGGCTAGAAGAAGAAGCGACTGATGAAACGACTCGCTATACAAAATGCAGCACAAAATGAAACGCGAGTTCTTGTCATCAACAGAATGTGACGCCTTGTTGGCAAAGTTATTTTATGCACTTACGTGTACATCCACGTGAGCAGGCGTATTTTCCTGAGGAGCGCTTGACTGGTGACTATGCGTTCAAACTAGTGCCGACGTCACGTGCACACCCGCGTTGAGCAGACGGGTGGAGCCGATGAACGCAAACAAGCTGCCATTTTCGTCCTGGGTCATGGTTGTCTGAGTAAAAGGAAGGAAGAAATCTCTTTGTCATGAATGGTAAATACTAATAAAAAAAAAAAGAATCTGCTGTGAACAAATGAACGCATAAAACTGACAGATGCCTGCCCACCGCCAAAAAAAAGCGACTTGCTAAAAAGAAATAAAAAAAAAATATATATATATATATATATAATTTTTTTTTTTAAAGAAGCTGGAGAGGATTTGGAAATAAAAAAGAAAAAAGTTTTTAGTGGTGAATTCTGGCGTATTTTTATTTCGTGAATCTGGATATCACGTTCGTTTTCCCCGATAATGTGAAACTACACGCAAACAAACACGAAGAACCTCCGACGAGTCGTTACGTCATACCGAGATATTATGGCCGCCAAGCGAGGTTCGCTCTTGTGGGCAGCGCTTGCAATAGGACCTTTAGCAAAGCAAAGAAATATCACGGCGCCGATTCCAAACTCTGCAAACTGGCTGCGTTTTTTTTTCTTTTACTTCGCTGCGCGGTTTTTTTTTTTAGGCAGAAAGGCGTGAACGATGATCTCACAAACCGAACCAGATTGACTGTTTTTCTGCAAAAATACAGCCGTCAACAACAAAAAAAAACACAAAACAAAACAGATCGATATAAAACCCAATCCCCTAAAGGGAAGCTAAGACTCACCTTGAAAAAGAACAAGTTAGGGGCGAATCCTGACGTATTTTTATCCTGTTAATCCGAATACTTCGTTCGCTTTCTTTGAAGATCTAACTAAACGCAAGAAAACACGAAAAACCTCCGACCAGTCGTGACGTCGTACTAGCACGGGTACTGGGATCTTTGAGCCGCCAAGCGCGTGTCGCTCGTGCGGGCAGCACGTGCAATTACAAGCGTGACCCCGCACTAACACCAGTCGTGACGTCTTTTTTAAAATTTTTGAATTAAGCAAGAGCGCGCGTGCATAGCTTTGATACGCGCTGAACATGCGCGAGAGTGGAGTTCGGAAAACTCGTAATATGACGTTACCCTCCAGAAAAGAGGAGCTTCAGAGGTATTTTAAAAATGAATTACTGCAGCCTCCGTGCACCAAATCAAAAATTAAAAAAAAAAATCTCGATATTCGTGATACTGGGGGTTAAATGAAGTCAATTTTTATGTTTTTCCTCAATACAAAACCGCTTCAGTTTCCCTTTAATTGCGGACTCCCTACGATCAAGTTTAGGTGTTAAAAGCGCTAAAAACCGACGGACGAGTAGAAGAAACACAGATCACAAAGCGCGTTTTTTTTTTTTTTTTTGCGTTTTTAGCGCCTAAACATGTTCAACCTCCTAGCTAGCCTAAATTGAAACCCTTGTACAATTTCTACGCTTAAAATAAATTAAGTCAGCATATGCGCGCGTGCACGAGGATTCATTGTGACAGCTCGCGCAGTAAAATTGACTACCATAGCTGAGAGCACACGCACATAGCGTTCCCCGAGGATACTGCATTCGAGCGCGGCGTATGAGCTCTTCTGAATTGAAATTTGTGCAGTCTTCTTCCAGGTGTCCCATTGTTTTCCTTCCCGAGTGATCCGTAGTTCGAAGCGACCGAGAAATCGTTGTTAAAAGTGAGGAGGGAAAACAGAATAACAGGAAATATACAGGGTTATAGAATAAAGCAGTTCAGTCAGGCTCGCTAACTCTCGAACGTTGCTTGTAGCCGCCGTTCTTGATGCGGCAAGTTCTTCCAAGTGCACTGTAAACGACTTAATATTCACAAGGAGCTATTTACCGCAAATTTTGGGACTTAGAAAACTATCGCAAAAAATAAATCACGAAAATAAATTAACCTACGGTGAGGAATGCTAAACGTAACATTCCAAGTCGCGAAATATAGTGCACGCCAAATACTCCTGAAACCCACACTTAGATTTTGCGAAATATTGTGGCCGGCAAAATAAAGGTTTAGCAGGTCATTTCCACACGAGCGGTTCGTCGAAGAACACATCGGAGACGCCACTGCGCATGCGCGCGACAGTCGTTGGGGACGTCGGGAGGCTCTTTTCGTTCGTTTCTCCCATTCCGGCCGCTGGAGTCGTCACCGGAACTCAGCAAGCATCGTTCACGACTCGGGTAAAAAAACAAACAAAAAAACAACAAAAAAACAACATGGCGGACGGTTGGGCGACTGATTTCGCCGCCCCAACCGAGCGTTAGGCTTAGGACAGAGGGAGGACATTTGCCATCCTGTTAGTCTGCTTCATTTGAGAGGTTGAACCAAATCCTTTCGAGGACTGCTTACAATGGTAAGCGATCGTGAATGCCGTAAACTGCGCATGCTAGTAAATTTTTGCGATCCGCGGGCAGACTAGCTGCTGTGGCGACCGCGACCAGACGAAATGATTCGGTTGGACGGCACACAACGTGAGCGATCGTTCAAGTTCAAGGTGACGGAGACACACCACGTACCTTTACGGTCGTTCAGATGCTTTTTATTTTATCTAGCTTCGCAGCTCTTCACATTCCGACCGGCAAATGTTACGTCGGCCGTCTTGTTTACATCAGTCGTACGCCGGAAACACGAGCCGCCACGGATTTACACGTTGCAAAATGCTTAACATATTTACTAGAAGATGGCGCCACCGGTCAAACACAACCATCAGCATCGTTCACAGGGTTTCGCCAGTTTCACGACTCACTAAATTATGTCAAATTTCCCGTACGATTGCCAGCTGGTGACCAGCTGCGCCGTTCGTGATTTCGCAACCGTGGGCTCGAAAAACGACTCGCTAAAATTTCCTAGTATTTGCTCTCAACGTCGCCGAAAGGCCTAAGAGGAGAGAACGTCTTGTCGAAGACTGCCACTGCAACCGAAGCTGAAGACGTGTTAAGGGACGCGATCGTGCAAACATCCGCAGCGATGGCGTCACAAGCACCTGAATTATCGATGTAAACCTCATCGCCAACGAAGACGCGACAAGCGACTCCATGGATAGATAGATGATATTGGCTATGCCCTTCCTCCCCTACTGAAACAATCCATTTCTTTCCCTCTACATCCCGGCAACATCACCGGGCCAGGGAAAGAACCACCAAGCTTACCTTTTGAGGGATTTAGAAAATGCAAAATAAAAAGAAAAAAGGAAAACGCACCTCTGCCTAAGGGAGTCGTCATTTTTCCTCTTGTCGTCCTTGTTGGGGTTCTTTACAAACCCAGACCCATTGAGAGACAGGGTTGAGATTTTGAGCGGGAGCCACGCGGGATGGAGTCTAGATTTTCCTCTGTCTTCGCTGCCTCTAATCGTGCTAGTTGCTTTTACCAATTTCAGTTTTCGCTAGTCTCCTACCACCGATGCTTTCACCCCTTTTTTGTTACATCAACCCTTTTAGAATTCACCCTTCCATCTATTCCTCCAAAGTTCAGGGCCCCCTCGACGTCTGTTCACCCCTCAGGGAAGGCAGGTTTAAGCCCCTTCAACCTCAAAACCAAACGTTCCATAGTTTCGCTCTCCGTTCCACATATGAATCAAACTTTATCTATATATCTTCAAATTTTGCCCTAAAAGTCTTCGTTCTTAGTACGCCAGTTCTAGCCTCAAACAGTAACGAGCTCTCCCGAGAATTATCAGTTTCTTTCCTTATTTTCTGTTTTTGCCATGTATTCGTAGTCAAAGCTGATTTATCCTGCATACTTCCTTCCCACATCTTTTCATCCGCATCCTTAACTCTGTCTTATACTGACGTCGTTTCACTGCCCGCCTGTAAAAATAGGTTTCGGAGCTTTCGAGTCCATTTCGTCCACTTTGTGTTCAAGCTTTTCATGTATAGGAACTTATATATCATAACTGCCCACCTCATCTGCTCCATATCAGTTAGACTTTGGTCAAAGTTTACTTGCTGCCTCTCAGCTCTCAAAGTACACCCAACCGATATCCACCTGTACCCCTTCATTTGGCGTGTTACCATGTACCCCTAAAGCTAACCTGCCTACACTCTTTTGCCTTAATTCTAAGCTTGACTGTATTTCAGATTTCATGGACTTTCCATACCCCCATCACAACTTCGTATTTATTGAAGTTCCACAATTCTTTGTGTCTCATGATAGCCGAATATATTTTACCCTTTTTTAGTACAATATCTTCATGTTCATTCAGATATTTTCTTCCATCCTTAAGCCGTACATCCAGATATTTGTACTTCTTTACATGTTCTATCAGAGTGTCTTGTATCTTCAGAGGTTCCTCCTTCTCGTCGTTAGGAACTAGTATCCCAGACTTCTTCCTACTGAAGCTTAGGCTAAAGGGTCCCCGTCCCCGCCACAAATTCTAATTAGTCCCTGCTTTGTCTCTCGACTTTCTGCTACAAGTAGAACGTCATCTGCATACATCAGCCCCTGTAAAACTTAATTTACTTTTTTCCCTTCCTCCATGTCAGTCAGATCAACTCCTAAATTGCATTGCTCTATTTTTTTTTTCTCCATTCCACTAAGGTATTTTAAGAGAGCAGCGGAGACAATGGACAGCTACGCCTAAGTCCTCATTTTATTGCTGCTGGTTTTGTGGTTTCGGCTTCCCAAGTTATGACTGCTCTGTGATCTTCATATATCTGTTCTAGAAACTTAATACGTTTTTTTAATTTCGTTCATATATTTCAGTTGATCCCAGAGTTTTGACTGATTCACATTGTCGTACAACAAATTCACGCTTTCTTCAGAACGGGGAAAGGTTCAAGGAGACGAGGTTACAAACGGAAGCGCCGATGAGGATTGAGTTACCGTACCGTCACCGCTCATGTTCATAATTTTTCTTTATCCAGTTTTTATCCAGTTCTGGAGTAATTCTATTTTGCGTGTTATCAGAGCTAACCGTGTGGATGGGGCGTTATATTTCGCTATTTAAATGAAGAATCCTTCGATGATTTCAAGTCCGAATCGCTAATGATGTGTTCCCAGAACCTTGGCGCTGCCAAGGGTCAACGTTGTTAAATGAAAGAGTGTGGTTGTCTGTGAAGGTCCTCCGTGTTCTTAATATTTTCATTTGAAGTATTCATAATCACAACAAGCTCGCCAGTCTACTCAATCGCCGATGTAAGAACGAAGCCGCGAAAACAAAGTCGCCGTTTCGTGCGAAGGTACGTGCCTCCACGGAACTTTCAGTCACAAACTTGAACTGCGCCTTCGGTTTTGGTCACTCGTCTTGTGGGCGACGTGGTTGTCGTTTACCTTACTCGTAGTGTGCAAATTTGGAATGTCAACTAAGCTCCTGGTCCACGATAGCGAATCGGTACCAGCGGTGAATGTACTGGCGATCGCGGGCGCATACCTGATAATGGCAGCTCCTCGTCTGGTCGGCCAGCAGCACTTTACGGTGCCGTTAAGGCAGCGGCTCATTATTGGCAAGAAACATTTTGGAAAGGGTCTGTTGCACGCTTTCTAGGTATCTTACTCCGCACTGGCACAAGTCGTGAGGTCTTTTTCTGACCTTTCTGAAAATAGCAAGAGTGCGCGTGTATAGCTTTGATAGGCGCTGAAGATGAGCGAGAGGTAAGATTTCGAAGACTTTGGATATGACGTCAATCTCTGAGAAAGAGGGGCTTCAGTGGTATACAGCACCGCTTCAGTTTCCTTTACCTTACCGTCGCACAAGTAATTACCGCCCTCTCCTTTACGAAATCCTCTTCCTCCTTCTATTTACATGACTGTGACACAACAAACAGAAGTGATAGCGGCAGTTTGTTTGGGTTGATGGGCTCCCCCCGTTTGATTCGAAATAGACGAGCCGTTAACGTCAGCCCTAATGGTTGAAGTTAGGGCTTGTCAATTTTAATGGGCTGAAGCAATAGTTTCGCTTCAACTGTAGTTGAAGTCCAAGCACACACACAAGCGTTCGTGAGAAAAAAAATCACCCTCACGCGTGGAGTTGTTTAACAGTTTTATTATTGAAGCAAACGCAAGCCTTGTGCGTTAGCGTTGCGTTTTCCACACTGCGCATGTGCCGTATGTACATAACGCTGCGAGCTTTAAGGGTGGTTCACACACCCGTGTGAGTCGGACAGAGTGCACGGGTTGCTAAGGCAACAACTGCGTCGGCTCCAACCAAACGGGGTAAAAACCGGCTTTGTTGGAGCCGACGCAGCTCTTGCCATAGCACCCCTTACGTCGGAAGCAGTTGCAATTGCACTCGGTCGAACTCGACGCAAGTGTGTAAATCAGTCTTTACCATGGTGGCCTTTACATACGTATGGTCGCTGTCGATTTTCGCGTTCGTACGCAGCAGACATCCGCGTTCCCCGTCTCGTTGCTCTCGTCACGCGCGGGACAGCGTGAGACTCAAGGCCCTTGCGCACAGTTGCGCTTGAGAGCGTTTCAGTGCGTTTGACCGCGCTGCGGCTGTGAGATACCAGGACATCCCTGCTTCTTATGTCACGTGCCAAGCTATTCCTTAAACTGGATTCCACACTTCCTACAAAGCACAGTAGTGACTGTGACTCGTTTTCGTTTCTCGACTCAACGCAGTCAAACGCATACATACACTCTGAAACGCAACTGTGAGTAGTGGCCTTCAGATAAGGGAGTTTTCGTAGACTGCGTTGCCCCCTCTGCCAAGCCCTCCTCAACAAAGAAGTCGCTACTGCGCCTGCGCCCTGATGGCCTTGGCTGTACAGCCCCGGGTATCGTAGCGGGTTGCGGAGTGCGTTGCGCGACGACGGAAACGATCTGCGAAAACTCCCTATTGGCTTCACGGAATACGGGCCTTAGATTGCTTGGAGCAGTGTCCATGGGGGCATCTAGATGGCGCTGCAACTGCTTTCGTCTGCATTTGCGTTCCGCTGTACTAAAAGTGCTGGTTTGACGCGTTCCGCAGAGTTCCACTTAGCGTTTGCGTGACTCGTACGAATTGCTAAAGCAAGGAACCTTACGCTATGTTTAATATCTAGATTAACTTCTTGCCTGACTTTACGTAATGAGTAGGACCAGCCAAATTAACATGTAAGAAATATTGCAGGAGCAGGATTCCACGTAAAACGTTACACTTTGGGTATTCGATATATTCAGAAATGTTCACATGACATTGTCAATGGTCCAGAGACAAAACACGTAAAGATGCGTTTTGCGGCACGCGTACACACCAGGATGTAGTACTGCCTGGTGGTTAGAAAACGATTGGGATATAATAAAAGACGTATTCATGTTACAGAAGCTTAATTACTTCGCCCATTGCTGGATATTTGGTCGGCACCTTCGGCTACAGGAAAGGATCTATGTTTATGTTTGTTGCTCTCTTGATGTGGGTACGTATTAAGCAATAATTCATTTTTCACCCAATGCTTTTGTCTTGCTACTTACACTAAATGCGTTTTTGGTGCGAAGACGAAAAACAAAAGCTTATGATATGTCACATGTCCATGCATAGTAGCATGATGTAAGGCTTCCTTCGCCTCACACTTATGCGGGCCAAGCAAATTTAAAGAAGATAAATAGTAAACTAGTCCTCAATAGGTCTATAGAAAAAAATTGGTCGTAGGAATTAAATTGTCCGGTTATTTGCGCCCGGAAAGCGGACTTGTTTTCATTTTCCTTTGACATGACTGTATTCAACCCATGTGCAACCGCTTACTTAATCGATACAAGACGGGCAGTCATGATTGGAAGTGCTAATTTATCCTGTTTAACATATGGATGTGGATACTGTAAAGGTTAAAAAATGTTAGGGCAGATAAAGGTGTCACAATACTGAAATGCTCCACTAGTCATGTTGCTGATAAATGTCAGCATAAACTATTAGCCTCTGCATGGAGCCATTCATCCGTCATTTTTGCTTACAGACGCCCATTACCGTGTTCCAATGGCAGCGATCCAACTGTCTATCAAGAAAGAAAATCACCATCACAATTCCCGAAGCATGAGGTGGCAATTAAATAAAGATTTTTTTTTGTATTCTTACTGTCTTATTTAACTAATAACATAGAAGGCAGCATTCAAGAATGCAGATCACCTCCACATAAAGAAACAGACGCCAGCAAACCTTTCACCCTTACCGAAGGGTCTACAATGTGGTGTTCAAGCGCTCATCCATAAAGCACGCAACGGTGCCAGCCTCACTCAGGACGTCCTCGATGAGGAAGCCCACCTGACGCAGATGACCCAGAGTCCCAGACAGTAAGTCCTCCTTACACACCAGTTCCAAGCGTGAATCAATGCAGCCAGGTGAAGCTCCCCAACCAGTGATGACCTAGCAGTTCTACATGCTCTGCAGGCTCTGCAAGCGAAAAAGCGGCGTATATGGAAATAAAAATACGATTGAGCGGCACGCGCCGCTCAATCATATGCTCAAAGACGACGCCGTCCCTGGCGTCGTCCTTGAGGTCGTTCTAGACCTCTAGGACGACCTTACTTGTCTCATTACGCAAAAACCTGGGGCCGTTCTGCCCGAAAGTTGACCCTAAAATTACATCATCAAGCACGCGCCGCTCACGCTCAAGTGCGGAAGCGTGATGTCACCACCGGAGCGCCGTGTGTAACTGGTGCGCTCCGGACTTCATCTGTGCTCTTTGTGTGCTTCGTGCAATGGACTGTGAGGCGACCGCGTGTACAGCTGCGGCCTTGACATCGGCAAACGTGGGCGCCCACGCAAATACACCACAGCTTCCTCAAGTATCCTCCTCTAGGCGTCGTTCTGAACGTCGTCCTAGATGTCGTCCTCTAGGCGTCGTTCTTGACGTCATCCTAGACGTCATCCTTAAAGTACGACCTACCGAATCGTCTTCTACCGGGGAAAAAACCGGTTCCCAGTTTCCTTCTCTTCATTCCCTCTCGCCAATTTTTCCCCTCGTCTCCACACAAGAGCCGATCTCTGAACTATTCCCGGTAGAGAGAAGGAGGGTCTCCCTCTTTCTCATGTGAAGCGGAGGAATTGAGGGAGAGTTTCCTTCTCTCCGCTTGTTGGTCGGCCTTTAATAAGGACGTCATAGAGGTCGTCTTAGAAGTCGTCCTAACGCCGCCCTTGACCTCGTCCTCGACGTCTTCCTATACGTTGTCCTAAACTTTATTACGTGTAGAAACATCACTCGAAAATTTTATCCGCGGTACTATGTTTTCGCCTTCCTACAAGTCAGCAGTCTTGAGTGTCCTCGAGTATTTTTTCTTTAATTTTATTAGTTGATTTGTTTCCTGGCCTTTCCAGTATTAATCCAGGCCGTCGAGCCATCTTTGCCGCAATAAAGTTTAATAACAACAACAAACACAAGGTTGTCCATGATTGGCGCAATTCATAACGAATAAACCCGCTATGTTTAAATGGAACCATAGAATTCCATTATTAGCTTTGATCGGGCGTAGTTTTACGTTTACCTTTAACTAAACCATTAGCTGGGCGTCTTAAGGTTGTTTTACTGCTTACATTTGGGACAAAGTCAAATAACCAAAATGAGAAAGAGAGAGAGAGAGAACCATCTTTATTGTCCCTTAGTTCAGGGTGTCAAGGGGGCATCCAGAAGAAAGTCAGTAAAAGAGGGATGCGGACAAGGGGATCGCAGAGGGCTGGTAGAATCATCCAGTGCTTTCAGGTCCCCTTCGATCGATGCGATGTGATGAAGAAGGGCGTCCAAGGTGGCGGGAACAATCTGATTATTCGTTGGAGACAGTCACCCGTGCCACATGGTGGGTCGGAGCCTGGGAGGGATTGTGGAAAGTGTAAAACGGATGAATGACTCTACGAAAAAAAATTGGGTTGTGTGTATGTTTATATAGCCTAGAACTTGGTCTATCTCAACGGGCGACGAGTCTCCCGGCTGTAGAGGAAACATTTACCCGTTGCAGTACAACCACTGGCCTGGAGTCTTTAACGTGCATCACGCAGTAGTGATACACGACCGCACGCCGGTACAGTGCTCATTCAGATCAAAACGGGCAAGGGTGGGGATTAAATCCAGGATCCTGGGTTCTGCAGTGCGAGCTTTGGCTCCACAATGACTCTGCATGGAGCAGTAGGTATGCTCGTTGTTGGGGTAGCCAGGAAAGAGGGGACATTTGGCTGTCCTTTGGGCGCCTCGGAGGAGATTAGTATAGTGTGGTGAAAGTTGAGTGCAGGGTTGAGCTCCACGTAAAGTGGTGCCATGTTAAGGGAGAGGATGGGTGGCGGTGTAACGAAGGTAAGTCTGGTTTCGCGGAGTTGTCGGAGTATATCGGCGCCTGTTGATGGTTTTCGGCACGTTGTAGCTGGGGCTCACAGGATTAGGCCAAGCGAACACAGGTTCCGGAACGGACGTGACTCGGGGAAGCAAATGTGCTTGGTCGTTGCAAAGCGGGGCAAGGAATCCAGTGGATTTAGAAGTGAAGGTTGGGAGAGGTGGTCGGGAGCGGCGCTGAGCTCGCGTGACATGTGGTTGGGGAGCTTATTGTATTGAAATGCACGAAGTGCCTTTTGGGAGTCACTTACAATTGCAATGAAAGTGTCTTTCGTCGGAGTTGGCGATGGCATGGTGGATGGCACAGCAGATCGCCTGTGCTTCCAGGTGGTCTGCTGAGGCAGCTTGGGTATAAGTTTGAGTGAGCTAGGCGTTGGTCTGGGAGCAGTGAAACGCAGTACGGCCAAGTGTGTTAATGTTATCGTAGCTGGCGTCCGTGTAGTAGATCAGGTTGTGGTTGGCCTGAAGAGTGTTGATTTTTGGGGTTCTGAGTTTGGCTTTGTGCTGGCGGCGTGCGGGGTTTCTGTCGGGATTCATGTGCTTTCGTATGGGTAGAATGGGGATTTAGGGGATAGTGTCCCAGGGCAGAGTGGTTTTCTCGACGGGAAGCAGGTGCAAGGTGTTGTAACCGAAAGCCCGGAGAATGTTGCGACCTTGTAGGGACGTGGCCAGGCGTTGTTGTTGTCCCAGTCGGTGCAAGTCGACTCGCACTTCGAGCGCGTTGAAAGGGTCCTTATGTTGTAGTTGCTCCAGGGGAGCGTTCTGTGAGACGCCGAGAATGAGACTGCAGGGTTTCCGGGGTTGTGTTTGGAGGTGTTTGAGTTGGGTTTTCGTGAGAGGGGTGTAGGGGATGTGATAGAGTACGCGAGAGTAGATGAAAGCTTCAGTGGCGCGTCTCATGTCGTCCTCTTTTAGGCCTTTGTGGCGGTGGGAGATGCGACAGAGGTCGCGTGTGATTTAATTGATTTGTTTGGAGAGGGAGGTTATGGTGATGTCGCAGGCACCATTGTTTTCAATGGTGAGACTTACGAGTATGATACGTTGCGCTTCGGGTACAGGCTTGTCGTCGAGGCTTATGGTGATGATGTCTCTGTCTGGACTGTTTTTGTGTTTGGAGATGATGAGGAGTTTTGATTTAGATGGGGAACACGCCAGACCTAGTTTGGTGGCATAGCGTGCGACATTGTCGCAGCTGCTCTGCAGTGTTTCTTCCTGTTGACCTGGGAGCGGGTGTTGATCCATAGACCAACGTCATCAGCAGGCATATAGCCAGGGGGGGGGGGGGGGCATGGGGCCAGGCCCCTCCTCCGAAAGCTTCCAGTTTGCTTAAGCATCCTACCCCCCCCCGCCCCCCCCCCCCGCCCCCCCCCCGCCCCCCCCCCCCCGCCCCCCCCCCCCCCCCCGAGACAAAATTCAGGCTAAGTGCCAGGTCATCAGCATAGATGGAGAACTTAGGATGGGTATGGTTTTGAGTTCAGCGGGAAGTTTTCTCATGGCAAGATTGAAACAGTTGGGGGAGAGGGTGGAGCCTTGTGGCACGCCTCTGTGTCAAGAAAAAGGGGTTGAGGTGTGTCCAGGGGTTTTTAATGCTACAGTGAGGCTCGATAAAAATTTGCGAATGTAGTTCTACAGGGTGAAACAAGGAGACGGCAGGCTCTTTAAATCGACCGGAAAATTCGGTTTCTTAACCTATCGCGCTACGACTTTGTTCAGCGAGGCCCACAGATGGTGCATTTGTTTTGTAAAATTTGCAAAGAGCGAACTTACCTGAGGAAAAAGTAAAGAAAGAAAAAGGCTTAGCTCCTATCGAAACGCAGCGACGCCAACGGTCTGCAAACAACAGGGCGCCGTTTCGCACTGGAGGCAAGAGATGGCGCAACAAACGCCGCCAACGCTCTGCGCCAACGAACGAGCATACGGCGCCGAGAGCAGGCCTTTTTAGCAGACAATCTTTTCGACTCAAAAGCGGCGCGCGTTCCGCAGGCGGCGACAGTCGCAGAAACAAAAAAGACAGGCGCGGTAACAGCAAGGAACTGCAGTTCCTTGTCTGCAAAAGGGCCGGCTCTCGGCGTCGTCTGCTCGTTCGTTGGCGGCAGTTGGCGTCGCGACCGCTTGCGCCATCTCTTGTCTCCCGTGCGAAACGGCGCCGTGTTGTTTGCAGACCGGTGGCGTCGCTGCGTTGCCATAGGAGCTAAGCCTTTTTCTTTCTTTACTTTTTCCTCAGGTAAGTTCGCTCTTTGCAAATTTTACAAAAAAAAAAATGCAGCACCTGTGGGCAACACTGCACAAAGTCGTAGCGCGATAGGTTAGGAAACCGAATTTTCCGGTCGATTTAAAGAGCCTGCCGTCACCTTGAATCACCCTGTACATTCGAGGGCCGCACTTCGTTTTTTTTAAGGTGTTTAGTATTGAGTCGTGTGACACGTTATCGAAAGCCTTGTAGATGTCGAGGCTGAGAAGCGAGCGGAGGTGTGTGGTGCTTTTCTGTTGGAGATCGTTGTATAATCGGAGAGGACAGTCTTGTGTGGAGATATTCTTCAGGTAAACAATGAGCGTAAAGGGTGAGAACGCGTTTTTTCGAAATGTTTGCCGATGCACGAGGTAAACAAAATAGGGCTGAGATTTTTTACTTAGGGGGCTTTGTTCGGTTTGGGGATCATGGTGACGATGGCACCTTTCCACTCTGCCGGTATGTCGCTTGTTTGTCAAACATGATTGAA